AAGGCTGTGTCAACCTTGAGATGGTCAGGATCGAATTGCTGGCAGTGGGCAGAGTCAGCCTTCAATGCTGCAGGTCGTGGCCCTGCACTATGAGAGCAGTGGGGTGGCTCCGGGACACGTAGGGTTGAGTCTCTCCATCACCCCTGTCCAGCCACCCCTCGGCCTTCCTCATCCTCCCCCCCCCAGACTCCGGCTTCTTTCCTGAACTGTGTTTTGCCTACTTGCGTGGAGCCCACCCAACAGCGTAAAAACGTGGCCTGCCGGAGCCCGAGACAACAGGAGTAGATCCCGGCTGCAAGGAGGCATCTCCCTAGCCATAATAACCCAGCACGGAAGGGGGCGCTGCCCCCCAGGTGAATCTCCCTGGGAAAAGGGGGGCAGAGGAGGGGCAGGTTTAGTACAGGTTTTATATATGGGGTATTTTAGAGCAGGCTTTTATTTATTTAACCTGATTTTAGAATAGATATTTATTGTGGTTTTTTATTATCGCCTGTTCACCGCCCTGAGTCCCGTAAGGGAGATAGGGCGGTATACAAATTTAAATAAACATAAACAGCCCAGCCCAGATAGTCTTCCTTGCCTCCCTCCCCCTCCCCAGTCTGCTTCATTGAAAGAAGCAGCCCTGGAGTCTGTTTACAAACTCGAGGGGCTGTTTACAACACCCCCCAAAAAAAACAGCAAAGGGGAAGCTGGGGCTTTTGCTCTCAGACCTGGCGTCCTTTGACCTGTCTGGGCCTTCAAGGGATGGGTCAAGCCCAGCTCCACTTTGGACACCTGCCTGTTGTAACTCCCTCCCTCCACCCTCCCACTCCTGCCACCGAGGAGCCGAGAACGGGCACTTCTCTGGGTGAGCGAGAGCCTGCCAAGTGTGTCACGCTCCCTTTCCTGCCTCCCGTTCGGTCATCGTCGCAGCCTCTGATACCAAGACGGGCCTTTGAAATGGCACCACTATAAAACTTTTCCAGGCCTGGCTTCTTGTGTGTGTGTGTGTGTCTCTCAGAGGGTGCTGCCTGGGATGGGGAGGGACCTGTCCAGTCCAAGTCCCTGGTGGGTGATGGGATGCCGAACAGGGGTCCTGGTCAGCTTGGGTGCTTTCTGCTCTCCTCGCCTTCTTTGCCTTTGGCCAGAGAGGTGCCCGGTGGCTGGGCAGTTCTGACTTGCTTCTGCCACCCGCAGCCCTGCTCAGCTCTCTCTCCAAACAGCCCCCCCCCTGCATCCTAGGCAAAAGGAGGGAAGCGCTGGCTCTCTCCCAAGAACTGCCCCCCCCCGGCTGTAAGCACAATTGAGCGGGCAGGGAGGGACGGAGAGGTCGCTGTCCCTGCTGCTTCCAAAGGGGGGAACGCCGTGTCCAGGCAGCCTTTGAAGCACACATTCTTGTGGGATGAGTAAAAGAGAGGCCACTGGGAGGGGGGGTTTCTGGATGCCTAATTCAACAACTCCTGGGAATGCCTCCTCCCACCCGTCCCCGGGGGCTCTTGAGCTCCTCGCTCACCCCCTCTTGCTGATGCGCTCAGTGCCATCTCGGTCTCTCCGCCCAGCCTAACTAGCGCTGGCGTCTTGGGAGGGTGGGTTTCTCCAGTGAGGACCTCCCCACTTTTGACCCTGAGAGGTGGACCCTGGGCAGCCTGTCCCGGTGTGCCTCACTTGTGGCCATTGGTCCAGCCAGTGCTTAGAATAGAATAGAGCTGGAAGGGACCTTGGAGGTCTTCTAGTCCAGCCCCCTGCTCAAGCAGGAGAACCTATACCGTCTCAGACAGGTGATGTCTAGTCTCTTCTTAAAAATCTCCAGTGATGGAGCGCCCACGATTTCTGAAGTCAAAGCTGTTCCACTGGTTAATTGTCCTCCCTGTCAGGAAATTTCTCCTTAATTCCAGGTTATTATTAATAATAATAATAATAATAATAATAATAATAATAATAATAATAGTAATAGTAATAGTAATAGTAATAGTAATAGTAATAGTAATAGTAATAATAATAATAATAATAAAGTTGGAAGGGACCTTGGAGGTCATCTAGTCCAACCCCCTGCTCAGGCAGGAAACCCTATACCATTTCGGACAAATGGCTCTCCAGTCTCTTCTTAAAAACCTCCAGTGTTGGAGCATTCACCGCTTCTGGAGGCAGGTTGTTCCACTGGTTAATTGTTCTCCCTGTCAGGAAGTTTCTCCTTAGTTCTAGGTTGCTTCTCTCTTTGGTTAGTTTCCACCCGTTGCTTCTTGTCCTGCCTTCAGGCGCTTTGGAGAATAGCTTGACTCCCTCTTCTTTGGGGCAGCCCCTGAGATATTGGAACACTGCTATCATGTCCCCCCCTCGTCCTTCTCTTCATTAAACTAGACATCCCCAATTCCAGCAACCGTTCCTTATATGTTTTAGCCTCCAGGTTGCTTCTCTCCTTGATCAGTTTCCAACCATTGTTTCTTGTCCTGCCCTCTGGTGCTTTGGTGAACAATGTGACCCCCTCTTCCTGGTGGCAGCCCCTCAGATACTGGAACGCTGCTATCATGTCTCCCCTATTTCTTCTTTTCTTGAGACTAGCCAAACCCAAGTCCTGCAGCCGTTCTTCGTATGTTTTAGTCTCCAGTCTCCTTTGATCATCTTAGTTGCTGGACTGTGTGGGACCCCATTTCCAGCCTGACCTGCCACAGGCTTCTCTACACCCCCCCCCAGCTATCAGCCTGGACATGTTGCGCCGTCAGTCAAACTCTGGGCCGGGTGCCAAGGCATCTCCTTCAAGGCGGGCTGGGTTCTGAGTTCACTGAGTTTGCCGGCGTCAAGGAGTGCGCGGCGCGTGTGCTCGGGTGCAAGCCGGATGCGGCCCATGCCATGTGCTGGTGCGGAAGGATCCCGGGTCTCTCAATCTGCCACGGAGTGTGGGGGGGAAACGGGACACAATTTGGTTCAGGACGTTCCCAGCCTCGTTATTTGACGCCTGCGGTGATCAACACGGTGCTTTGCCAAAAAAGTCTTGGCTCCCCGCGGCTGTAGGAATCGTGGAAAGAGGGCAGAGCACAAACAGGGCTGCTCCCTCCTGGCCTCTCCCCTCCGGCTGCCCTCTTCTGAGCCCCACGTGCCCAGCTGCACCCCGTAACCTTTAGTCGGGCCGAGAGAAGCGGGCGTGCTGAGTCTGGAAGTATGACTAGCGTGTTCTGGGCAGAAGGGAGCCATTTGCAGCCAAGAGGCTTCCCTGTCCTAGAGGGGCTGGCAAGCCGAGGGTGGGCACCCCGGGCCCTGCCATCTTCCCCCTTACTCTGAGCCTTGGGGCAGGCAGGCAGGGGAAGAAGGGATGGTGATGGTTTGGCCATGCTGGCCTCTAGGCGGAGTGGGCAGGTGCTTCACCCATGCATCCCAACAGAGGTCCTTGAGGGCATGAAGACACTGCCATCTGCTGGCCGAAGCAGGGCTGGGCAACTAGCCCCTTTCCGACCTGTGGACTTCAACTCCCAGCATGGCTGGCCTCAGGAATTCTGGGAGTTGAAGTCCACCGGTCGTAAAGGGGCCAGGGTTTGTTTGTCCGGCCTTGTCTTAAAGCAGGGGTAGTCAACCTTGGTTCTTTTATGACTCGTGGACTTCAATTCCCAGAATTCCTGAGCCAGCTAAGCTGGCTCAGGAATTCTGGGAGTTGAAGTCCACGAGTCATAAAAGAGCCAAGGTTGACTACCCCTGTCTTAAAGAGTTGGTGCCAAGGGGAGGACGAAAGAAAGCAGAACAGGGTGGGAGTGGAGCTGGAGCTTGGTCCCCAAATGGGATGGCAGGGCCTGCCAGACACACACACACACACACACACACACACATACACACCTTGCCTATGGGCAGCTCTGCCCTCCCGATCCAACAATGGGCACCCAGGACCTGGAATAATGCCCGTTGCATTTGCGTCAGGTTTTAACCCCGTCAGTTGTTTATGGCAGGGCTTTTCAACCAGTGGTACGGGTACCACCTGTGGTACATTGGCACCTGGCAGGTGGTACGCGACCATCCTAGAAAAGTGGTAGCGGGGGAGGGGAATGAGCTGAACCGGTGGCAGCACCGCACAAGCCTGAGCGAGAGANGGCTGGAGCTGCAGGGCTGTCAGGGCTCAGCGGAAGCGCCAGGATCAGCGCCAGGATCCAGCTGGAAAGCAGCACTGATCCTGGCTCTTCTGCTGAGCCCAGAAGAAGCACCGATCAGCTGGAATGTTGCAGCATCTCCAGGGTCTTGTGATTTACATTCAGAGGCTTGGCAACCGATTTATATTTATGACGGTCACAGTGTCCCAGGGTCATGTGAAGTGACCAAACCCTGCTGCAACCACCCAGCAGACAGGGGGAATAAAAACCAAACAGCCCCCCACCCCACCCCCACTGCCAATCCTCAACAGAAATGCTCACAACAATGAAAACCTCGGACAGGAGGAAGAGCACCGCCGGGCGGGCAGGCAGGTGTCTTGCTCGGCTGTGGCTTGGGGGGCCCTTTTTTCAGTGCCATTGTAACTTCGAACAGTCACTAAGCAAACTGTTGTAAGTCGAGGACTACCTGTACTTTATCACTTTTTCCCCTTTTTTTTGTTTTTTTGGTCAAGTTTTTGACACCTTGCTAGGCGACTAGTGGTCCTTGGATGTTGCCCTATCCTAAAAGTGGTACAATGGGTGAAAAGGTTGAAAAGCCCTGGTTTATGGGCTGGGCAAGAGGGATGGGGCGAGGTTGTGTTCACCGCACGGCCAAAAGCCAGAAAGTGGATTCCTTCAGGGCCTCGTGGGGCACACCCTCTGCCCCCCCCTTGTGCGCATGCTGAGGGAGCTTTGGGGAGAGGAGACGGGGACACCCCAGGGGCTTGGCCAAAGCACTTCTTTTGGGGGGGTGGGCTGTTTTTCCCGTTCGACTTGGTCAAAAGGCCCCTGTTGGGCCTGGGTGCCCTCCCTTCTCTACCCGCCCCCAATGCGCGGGAAATATAGACTCGAACACAAGACCGGATGGCATCTCCACAACGGCTTTATTCTGCAACTGGACGGCTCTGCTCCTCACTCTCCCCTGAGGGTCTGAAAGGAAAGGCTGTTAGAGGCAGCAGGGAAGGGCAAGGACAGAAATCTGCAGCTGCAAAGAGCTACAAGGCTGGTGGGGTCCCCTCGAGGCCATCAAGACATTCCTCGAGGCTAAGGGAAGAGGGGGCCAGGGACGGAGGCAGTAGCTCACCTTCTGGATCCACTCGTTGAAAGCAGAGACCCGGGTGAAGACGGTGGGCTTTTTCGGGGTGTTACAGCCCAACGCGGACACGAAGCTGGCGATCCCGTGGACGTACCACCGCCCCGCTACGCCCTGGCAGTTGAGGGGGCCGCCGGAGTCGCCCTGTCACGCAGCACAGAGAGAGTCTCAGGCTGGGCACCCACAGCTTTCTCTCTTTCCGATTCGGGCCCCGCCTTGCCCCACAGACAGTGATAACCGTGGCTCAAGGAAATTGGGAGAACAGAAGCCACAACTAACCTTAACAGCCTTGGTGACGTCAAAGGAGCCTGGAGGAAGACGCACACACACACACACACCCCTCTGCTCTCCTCTGCCAGCTGGCCGGTACGCTCCCACAGAGTGGGTCTCCTCAGAGTGGGTCTCCTCAGAGTGGGTCTCCTCAGGGTCTCCTCAGGGTGCCGTCAGCCAGACAGTGCCGGCTGGCGACCCCCAGGGGGAGGGCCTTCTCGGTGGGAGCTCCCACCCTCTGGAACGAACTACCCCCAGAGATCCGGGTGATCCCGGATCTCCCCTCCTTCCGCCGTGCCCTAAAGACATGGCTTTTCCAACAAGCGGGTCTGGCCTAGGGAATTTTAGCGGGGTTTTTTAGGGGATTTTTAAGGATAATTTTAATGATCGGCCTGTTTAAATATTTCTTTTTAATTCGACTTTTAATTATTGTATTTGTATTGTAGTTTTTATGAGGCTGTTAGCCGCCCTGAGTCCCATGAGGAGAAGGGCGGGGTATAAATTAAATTAATACATAATACATAAAATACAATACATGGGATGGCCTGAGGCGTCCACGGATGGGTCAGGCGCCCCGATTTTAAGCAGGCCCCCAGCTCTTCGGAGGCGCGGGAGAGAATTCTGCCCTCTCTGCCCCTTGGGCTTATTTCAGCGGGCAAACTTCAGGAAAGGCCATTTCCACCTGCTTTCCACTCTCAGGAGCATAACAAGAAAGCAAGGGGTACTGTGCCAACCTCGATGGGCCATCACCCCAGAGCAGGGGTAGGCAACCTCGGCTCTTTTATGACTCATGGACTTCAACTCCCAGAATTCCTGAGTCAGCTGACTCGGGAATTCTGGGAGTTGAAGTCCATGAGTCATAAAAGAGCCGAGGTTGCCTACCCCTGTCCCAGAGACATCGACTGCGGCACAATAAATGCCTTCAGGTGCTGCCTCTTTGTGGTCACATTTAAACATTACACAGAAATGCCAAGTTCTCTCTCCTCCTCCTCCTCCTCCTCCTCCTCCCCCCTGCTTCCTTGATTTTTCTCCTGGCATACCGTGTTGCCTAAATATTCCAATTCCCTTTCGCAATTTTCATACTTATGTCCGAGGGAGCCTTTGAAATGGGCTTTGAACACGCAAGATTTACTGATGTCGGGCTCTCCCACTTGGCCTGTGGGGCTCAAGGCTTCCCAAGGGCTGGCTGGGGAATTCTGGGAGTTGAAGCCCACACTTCTTAAAAGTCGCCAAGTTTAAAAATCTACGGTCTAAATGCTTTCCTTTGGGCGGGGTGCCTCCACATTTAGAAGGGTCTTTCTGAGCTGGGGGAGGGGCACCTCGTGCTCTGCTCCCGGAGTTTCAGAGCGCGAAGAGCGTGCTAGCAAAAAATATGAAACATCGATCCCAAAAACCACCTGTTTTGACTGCCTTTGACAGTGTCAGTACCGCCCATGAGCCAGTAGAGGGCAGCAGTCACCATCCCTTCCTGCTTTGAAAGTTGTTTCCTCTGTCGATTTATATTCCGTTTTTCTTGCTTTGACCTGCTGTTGGCTGCCTGTAGGGCTTGCCTGTGGAGCAGCCAGGCAGCCTGCGTTAAATTTAAGGAAAAAAGACGGGGTTCCTCCTTCCAGGCGCCCCACTTACGTTGCAGCCGGATCGGATGCCTCCCCCAGCGCAGACCATGCTCTGCCGGACGGAGCCTCCCCACCAGTCCGGCTTACTACAGTGCTCGTAGTCCACCACGTGCAAGGAAGCCTGTTGCAGCTTGGCGGGCAGAGGCCCTCCAGCTGTGGAGGAAAACAGGGTCAGGCCTGCCTGCCAGGCCCCACTGCAGACCCCTGCCCCCTCCCCTCCCCCGGCGCAGAGAGCACCCCACATACTGGAAATACGTCCCCAGCCGGTGATGTAGCACGGGTATTCGTTGGGCAGGACGACGTCCGGCGGGGGCAGGCAGGCCAAGCTGACTTTGTCATTCAGCACGGGCCGGTGGGAGAGTTTCAGCAGTGCGATGTCACTGCTGGAGCCGAAGAGGGAGACAGCCGTGAAGGCGGGACGCTGGAGGCTTTTCTCCTCCCCCTCCCCCAAGGACGGGCGCCTTGGCCTACCCGCAGGACACACAGCCGGATTTCCAGTCGGGATGCACGAAAATGTCTTCGGACTTGATGGGGATGTGCTGCTCAGGCCCTTCCTCCACGGTGAAGTCGTACTCCCCCAGCACCACCTTGTACGTGCGGGATCGCCTGCGAAAGAAATTTCACCACCACCCCAGCTTTCAGAGGCTTTCAGAGTAGTGTACTCCGACAGGGTCTGGATCCCCCTCCAACAGGAGGGGTCTTCTTTGGAAAAAAAGAGCCTAAACAGGGCCAGGAGCTCTGACCTCACTCTGTGGCAAGGCTAAAAAGGACGAAAGCAGGAAAAACTGGCCCTAAAGGAACAGGGCAAGAGAAAGGAAGGAAGGAAGGAAGGAAGGAAGGAAGGAAGGAAGGAAGGAAGGAAGGAAGGAAGGAGAAAAGATGGAATGAACGAAGGAAGGAAGAAGAAAAGAGTTGGAAAGAAGGAAGGCAGGAGAAAAGAGATGGAAGGAAGGAGAAAACAGATGGAAGGAATGAAAGGAGAAAAGATGGAAGGAAGAAAAGAAAGAAAAAAAGATGGAAGGAAGGAAGGAAGAAGAAAAGAGTTGGAAGGAAGGAAGGAGAAAAGAGATGGAAGGAAGGAAGGAGAAAACAGATGGAAGGAATGGAAGGGAGAAAAGATGTAAGGAAGGAAAAAAGAAAGAAGAAAAGAGATGGAAAGAAAGAAGAAAAGAATTGGAAAAAAGAGAAGGAAGGAAAGAGAAAAGATGGAAAAAAAGAAGAAAAGAGTTGGAAGGAAGGAAGGAAGGAAGGAGAAAAGAGATGGAAGGAAGGAAAGAAAGAAGAAAGATGGAAAGAAGGAAGGAAGAAGAAAAGAGATGGAAAAAAGAAAGAAGGAAGGAGAAAAGAGATGGAAGGAAGGAAAGAAGAAAGAAAAGAGATGGAAAGAAGGAAGGAAGGAGAAAAGAGATGGAAGGAAGGAAAGAAGAAAGAAAAGAGATGGAAAAAAGAAGGAAGGAAGGAAGGAAGGAAGGAGGGGCCTGACCCAGTGCCACAGCTCAGAACCAAGATGGACCCCCGGGGACTCCAAGAAGAAAAGGGGGAGGGGAGGCTCCCCAAAGAAAAGGGGGAGGGCGAGGCTCCAGCAGGGCCCCGGACACTTACGAGATGCAGTGGGCAGCTGTCATCACCCAGTCGGGGGTAATGAGGGACCCTCCGCAGGTGTGACGGAAGACCCCATCTCTCTCGTACTGGAGGGAGATCTGCGGGAAGCCAGAGAGGGAGACGCTGGGAAGGGGGGGACCTCACCCTCAAGGACCCCTGCTCCAGCCAGGCGGGGCTTTCTCAGCCCCTCCCTGGGGACGCTGGGACGGCAGCCCAATTGCCAACCGGGCCAGGCCGGGGCCATTTGGCTCACAGGAGGGCTTCCCCTGTGATGGCCAAACGGGGGTCCGTGCTCCGGGGTGCCCTTTTGCGCTGCTCGGGGGGGGCTGCGTTACCTGCCAGGGCCAGCTGTAAGGCGCAGCGTCCTTGCCGTTCACCACCCGGCTGTGGGGAGGGTAGGCTGGCCGCCCACACCCGGCAGCTGCCGAAGAGAAGAGAAGGGACTGAGACCCCCGGGCAGGGAGGCCGGGGGCTTAGCCCTCCGAGAAGCAGAGGCCTCTGATCCTTTCCTCCTCCGAGGCAAGGCCAAGGGGCTAGGAGACCGGGTGGGGGGGACCGCCAGGGGGTGGGGGATGCCTCCTTACCCCCAGCCACCAACAGGATGGAAATCAGCACCGTCAGCATCTTTCCCAAGCAGCGCAAAAGGGCACCTTGAGCCTTAAATACCCCCCACAGCATCCAGAGGGACCTTGGGCACAGATGTGACGGTGCCCACGGCTCCGGCAGGGTCAGCCAAGGCTTGACAAGCCGGCCGCTTCCCCAGGGACGGCCACAGCTGGCTCCTTGGCCAGACGCCGCCAAGGCCAGAAGCCGCCAAGTTGGCCTGGGGGACAGATGTTTCCTTCCCCTTGTTCCCCCCCCTCCCTTTGACAGGGGCCGATCCCCACCGCTTTTTTTCCATCCTCTCCAGGAAAAAAAACGGGATTTCTGGGCTGGCTCCCAGGGGTATTCCTGGCAGACCCAGCCCAGAACCATCTGGGGTGCAAAAACCACCCTGAATTTTTTTTTCCCCTGCTTGGAATTCGCCCGTCGTCACACGATCCAGCCTTTGTTTGGGGAGGCTTATGTAACACGGGTTGTGTGTGTTTTTTTGTGTTTGCCCAGAACGACTTAACTTGGCAAAGACGTGTAATCTGGAAAGGGTGTGAACGCCACGTGGGCGCAACCTGCCCTGTGGAGATATTTGGGGGTCTCCGGCTCCTTCTCCTCCTGTCCCCGTGCGGGAAACCCTCTTTCCGACGGACCCCCGATTTCACCAGGGGTCTCTTCTGTCTGAGCCCCCCCCCAGTGCTCAAAGCAAGTAGATCCAAGATGCCAATGCGGTTCAGTTAAAGCGTGAGGAGTGGGCTTCGGGGTCCTTTGGAACAGGAGTCTGCCATCTCCTCCCTGTCCTCCTGTCCACCCTCCCCCAATACACAGGGCCATTTGTGTTTCCTTCAATATCTTTGGGGTGGACTAAATGACCTCTGTGTTCCTGCCATTTCTGCACAGGTGTGCATGTGTGCAGGTAGCCTTCCACTTACAACCCCTGTTTAGTGCAGGGGTCTTCAAACGTGGCCCTTTTATGACTCGCAGACTTCAACTCCCAGAATTCCTCAGCCAGTGTGCCTGTCTGCAGCATCTTTCTCAGGGGGCCCTTGTGGAAAAGTGGGTGGGGGTCTCTGAAGGTCCTGTTTTGTAGCCATCCAGGTGTATTGCAGCCTCGCTGAGGGCCATCGATCAGTCGCTCAGGTGAATTTGTTTGTCCTTCTTTGTGACAGGAGCCTTCGGGGACTCTCCCGGCAGAGAGGTCCACAAGTGGCCCCTGACCCCAAATGCAGCTTCCTTCCGGCCTTCTGAGCCCCCCACCCAGCCCCTTCCCCTGCCGGCCCACGAGAGAGAAGGACCAACGAGGAAAGGTAAGAGATGCTTCCTCTTCTTTAGGGTGGTGTTGATTTAAGTCTCTCTCTTTCTCTCTCCCTCTCTCTCTCTCTCTCCCTTCCTCTCTCTCTCTCCCTCCCTCCCTCTCCCTCTCCCTCCCTCCCCCTCTCTCTCCCTCTCCCTCTCCCTCTCCTTCCCTCCATCCCTTCTTCCCTCTCCCTCTCTCCCGTTCCCTCCCTCTTCCCCTCCCTCCCTCCCTCTC